TTTCATCTTCGCAAAAGCCTCATAAGGAAACTGGCGGTCCAAGAAGTCAAGTAACTTGCCTGAGGATGCACAACCAACCACTGGCTGAACCCAAGTCTCTCTGATGGCAAGACCACATGGCTTTCCACTATACCAAGAGTATACTAGAATTGTCAATTGGGAGCTCTTAATATATAGCAGACACTGGGCTAAACAATTTTTGTATTATCTTATTTAACATTCACTGTAATTTTCTGAAGTCTATGTCAATACTCTAAGTTTACCAACATAAATCCTGAGATCCTAAAAGGCTGAATGAACTGCCCTAAGTCACAGAGCCAACAAGTGGCCGATGCAGGATTCAAACAAGTCTGGGTTTGCAAAACCTGGCCTCTTAGCATAGAATCACTGTTTCCTGAGACTACGTAGTTTTTGTGAGTGACCAGGATATGATTTGTTCCACAGTCTTTTAATCTGAGTCTTTATTCATTGCCCCATAGTGATGGTCACCTGGGCTCTCAGATGACAGGTTTGTAGCTAGCATTGCATTAAGGTTTACTCACCTAACCTTCACAGAGAGCTTGTGGCCAGTCACATGGATGGCATTTTCATCCTCGTAGAGCATGGGCACAGGAATACCCAGCACCAAATAATGCCCCCAACATCCAGTGCTCCAAGCCTGACCTCATTATGTGTTTGGCCAGGACCTGAAAATGCCAGATGGGGAATGGGTGAGAGGGCAGAGGGAGACAGTTGGGCTCATTGAAGCATAACCATTTGGTACTCCCTGGAGATGCTAGCTGTCAGAAGTGATTGCTCAGATTTTGCCATCCAGTTTACATTTTCAGTAATTTGGTCAGTGACCAAACTAAGGTGGAGAGGATTATTTCTGCTTAAACAATCTAATTAATTGCTTGCCTCTTGAGTGTGAGAGAAGTAAGGCAGTACTTCTCATTTTGATTCAGTCTTTCTATACAGGTGGCCCACCATTTCCTTAGGTAAAGCTTTAATATCATCTATTTCTGCCAAAGGAGTCTTACTTAGTAACATAATTAGAGAAGGTGATGCTAAACTTGATGTAAATTCTTACCAAGTGAAAAAGTCATGAATTGGTAAGTAATTTTTTATTAAAAACACTGTTTGAGGGTAAGTCACTTAACTCTTGAGCCTCAATTTTCACATCCAGGCCCACAACACTCCTTGAGGGTTTATTCATGCATTCGTTCATTCATTTGTTCATTTATTCAACAAAGATTCATTAAGCACCTACTATATGCCCAGCTCCATCTTAAGTCCTGGATCGTTGTGCGGTTATGGATAATATAGGCAAAGTGCTTAGTACAACATCAAATACCTTGTACACACTCAAATAATGGGTGTTTTCCTTTCTTTGTATTTGAGTTTTTAGTGCTTGAAAGAACACACCATTATTTAGAGCCCTATTTCCCAGCCCTACCTCTCATTTGAGCAATAAATTATCCACCTGCATCCCAAGAAGCAAGAGAGGAAGGGGCTGAGGTAGGTAGGAGAAAACATAAGCCGTAGCCACCTGCCACTGAGAGAGGGAATCAACATGGGCCTCTGTGATGGGAAAGCAAAACTATGATGGGGTTACAGTGAATACAAAAAGACTGCCAAGAAGAGAAATTAATTCAATATTTATGATATAATTCACTATTTATAGTGCTGCATATAGTCATTTAGCTAACCTAAATTTCAGTATTAAAATTTATTATAAATTTTAAAGCCCAGGGGTGCGTGGGTGGCTCAGTCTGTTAAGCGTCTGACTCTTGATTTCAGCTCAGGTCATGATGTCAGGGTCATGAGATCAAGTCCTGCATTGGGCTCCGCACCGGATGTGGAGTCTGCTTAGGATTCTCTCTCTCTTCCTCTTCCTCTCCCTCTGTCTCTCTACCCTCTCCCCAGTTCTCACACTCTTAAAAAAATTTTTTTAAAGCCCAGCCTATTATGGTATGGTGTTATGTAAGTGATTATATACTTGCACTTGGTTATGGTTTATTTAATTCAGGACATTTGGGATATGGGGATGCAATGGAGAAGGTTGATTATCATTTGTGAAAAACTTAATGCAGATATCTGAAGAACTGTATTGGCCCTAAAACTGTGTATAACTCATCCAAAATCTTATTTGTGTTGAGAATTCCCATTGCAGAAGAGAGATGAGGAAGATCCTGAATGCTATTTCCCAAGCTGAGTAGATGTGAACAAACACTCAAGTTAGCTTTTAGCAGATGTGTGTTCAGGCCCTGTCTCTACCACTTTTTAAACTTGGCAAGCTTCAAGTCTCAGCTTTCCCAGCCATAAAATGGGGTCAATAATACCTACATCATTTGGTTATTGTGAGAACCAAATGAGAGGCTATAAATGTAAAGGAATTTTTCAATAATAATTTTATGTTAAAACTTCAGCCAACACTTACATTATCATCATTATATTAATGAAACGTCCAACCCCAAGAGAAAGCAAAACTTTCCGACTTCCTTCATGAGTGAGCCAAAACCATGCCACCTACAGTAACATTTTAAAAATTGTGGGTTTTTTTTCTAGTGCCTGTTTGAAGATTAATAAACCATAGCAAATAATAGGTGTGTGTGTGTGTGGGTGTGTATCCATTGGACTTAACATTCTTTGAAACCCTCTTAAGATTTAAGCGATGAATCACTAAAGATAGCCTAATAGGGACATTTCTTAAGAAATCTGAAAAGGGTGAGCTTGGAAACCAGGGGGTAAAAATTAGAATGCTCTGTCCAAATAGTTAGAATTCTGACTTCAGCCTAGTATATGTTTGGAGCCCTGTGAGTTCTGTGGGTTCGTGCAGAATTTTTTCCATAGCCTAATCAAATAAACATGGATCCTCTGCCTGTCATTTTGGCATCATCTAATGTACTAGCGTTTCCCATAATTATCCTGGTTAATGAAAAGAAGCCAGGATAAAGTCAGGGCCAGAACAGTTTTAGAAGGATCCGAAGAGATGAATATGAATTAACATTTGCACTTGGATTAAAACCAAGAAAAGCTGAAGTTGCTCAGAACAGGCATTTTCTGAGTGAGCATCTTTCCACTTGGCAGCTTACCTTTTCTGAAGTCTTCCTTGTGCTCTTCCCAACTGTTGTATGTAGAAACTCTCAGTGGAACATATTGCTTTAATATCTGAGGTTAGATATGAAAATTTTTGTTCAGCTGTTTCCACTCAAATATTCTCCTCTCGCACTGAAATATATTCTGAAACTGTTTCTGTAACTATAGAAACCCCGACCTGCACTGTGTTTCAACTGGGAACACAAAAGAGCTCTCAGTTAAAAAGCAATATGTTGTTAATTATTGATCTATGAATAGCTTAGATTTTATAAACCATTAATTTCTGTAGATTCGGGGTTTTTCTTCTCTCTTTCTTTTCTTTCCCCATTTTTGAAATGAGAGTTGGCCATATTTAAACAAACAGTCAAGTCAAAACAACTCAGGGAAGATTATTTGAGTTCATCGTGGTTTATTGAGGACTTGCTACAGGATGCTGCAGAGTGACATGTGGGTTTGCCCTCAAGGAACATACAGCTTTGTATGCGCTCTGGGAAAACAAACACAAGGAAATGAGATAATACCGACATGAAGATACAAATAAGTCCTGTGGTGTCATAAAGGAAGGAGTGATCCTGTCTAACTGGAGAGGCTCAAACAAACAAACGAACAAAAAACAAGGAGATACTTAACTTCTCTTTACCTCTTTTTTAACCGCATCCTTCGAAGAGGCACAAGTCTTACCAAGTTTACTTTACTACTGTTTCTCAAACCCTTTCCTTCCTTCCACCTCATTATCATTTCTGACTTCTCAACAGGCCTGCTGCTTCCCCCCACCCCGTCCCTTCCCTCCTCCAGCCTATCTTCCTCCTCTGCCAGTGTCATTTGTTCTATGCTCATCTGTTTGAGCGCTTCTCTGCTTTATATCCTCCCGTAACTCGTGAGGATTCCCCAAGGAAGAAGCCTGAGTCCTTAGTGTGGATGGATATCTTTTATAAGGAGGTCCCACCACCTCACTGTCTCACATCCCATCCTGTATATACCCTATACCAGAATCTTCCCACAATCTTTAGCTTGCTTATATCCTAGGGTCATGGTATGTGTCATTGCTCCTGTCAGGGAAGTTCTCCCTGGACTTTTCCTGGTGACAAGCTCTTTCTTGTCCTTCAAGTTTCACATAAATTGATACCTCCTCCAAGAAGCTTACCCCAGTGCTTTCTATCCCTCCTTCTCCCCTCCCCCCCCCGGCCCGTTGCTGTCAACAGTCTTACCGTGTAGCATTATCAGTCTCTTTATGTCTTTGTTCCTACCAGGAGCACATTCCTGGGTGTTTATTGCAATCATGCTTTTTAATTTTTTTTCTTTGTTCCCCAGCTCCTTGCTTGATACAGGGTAGGCACTCGATGAGCGTTTGATGAATGAATGAAGTGTCAGGTACAATGATGAAATCTGCAGAGATGACAGGAGAACAGCACTGGGGAAAAGGAAAAAATTCAAGATTACCTATAACATATTTGGTTTTGAGGTGAAGGCAAATACCCTTGTGTTTCTAAAGGGAAGGGAAGAAAAAGGAAACCAAAAGAAAAGAGTAGGAGAGATGAGGTGTGCAGAGGGGAGGAGAGGAGAAAAAAGAAGTTTATTTAGTCTTCAGTTCAGGGGTTCATCTCTGTGGATTGTGATTTCTTTTAATAGATTTTTGGTTGATTTATTCAGGCATTTAAGTAACAAATATTAGTTTTTCTCCCTCTTTGTTTCTTCCAATCACTGTGACTCTCAGTACATATCACACAGAAGTTTCAAGGGATGTGTTAGCCTCTTAGAGACAATATACCAAGACGTTTTTTTACCAAACAAAGGAATGGGAATTCTTTAGAACACATTGTATTTGCGCTGTAGGATATGAAGAGGTATTCTTTATTTAGTAAGGAACTTACTCATAAATGCCTTGCCATGCAATCAGCTCTTTATTTTCCAATTTTCTTTAGGGTGGAAAGAAAGGAGCGTGCCCGGTTGAAGACAGTGAAGTTTAATGCAAAACCTGGAGTGATTGATTCAAAAGGGGTAGGTACAGAATAATCAAAATATTAAGTTCTCTCGGCTGCCATGGGTTTAACTATAATTAACATTTAGGCTTCCAGTAGCAAGGAAATTATGGAGCTACCAGACAGTAGAGTACTATTATAAGTGTACTGCTGAAAGTAATCATGTATTCTCTGATGAAGTAGATGTGTAGTAAATATATTAAATACTGGGGCTAAAGCTGACAGTGGTCCATGGAAATGATGTGTTGATGAAGGTGATGTAGTGATTACACTGAAGAAGAAAAAGATAGTTTAGTGTTTTCATTTCTTTTAAATTAAATGTTCAAAAGGATGGATTTCATAAAAGATACCTACCTGCTCTTCACAAATATGTGTAGTCTATTACGTATTATAAAGCTAAGACAGTGGTCATGGAAATATATATATCTGGATCATCTCAGTGAATACACGGATTGTTGTGACAGACATAGAAGAGAATTAACAAGTGAAATGGAATCACCAAATTTAAAGTATTATGTGCACATGTATCTATTTTAATAACAGCTTTAACAAGATAAAATTCACATACCATACAATTCACTAATTTAAAGTATACCATCCAGAGGTTTTTAGTATATTTAGTGAGACAGCCATCCCTACAAACAGTTTGAGAACATTTGATCACCCCATGAAACCCTGTAGCCGTCACTTCCCATTGCCCCCTGACCTCACCCCCACCCTCAACCCTGCCCAGCCCTACGCAACTACTAATCTATTTTGCCTATAGATTTACCTATTCTGGATATTTTATATAAATGGAATTATATACTATGTGGTCTTTTGTGTCTGCTCCTTTCACTTCACATAATGTTCTCATGCGCAGATATTGTGCTTTCTTTCTTATATATATAAGATATAAGTACTTTCTTTCTTTTCCTTGCCAAATAATATGCCGTTGTAAGGATACATCTCATTTAATTTATCCATTCATCATCAGTTGATGGACATCTGGGTTCTTTCCACTCTTTGGCTATTATGGATAATGCTGCAGTGAACATTTGTGTATACATTTTTGTATGGACACGTGTTCTTACTTCCACTGGGTGTATACCTAGGAGTAGAATTTCTGGGTCTTATGATAACTCTATGTTTAATGTTTTGAGGAACTTCCAGACTGTTTTTCCAAGGTGGTTGTACTTGTTTATATTCCCACCATCAGTGTATGAGGGCTCCAATGTCTCTACATTCTCACCAACACTTGTTATTATATGTCTTTCTGCTTATTTGGTCTGAAGTGGTATCTCATTGTATTTGCAATTTGCATTCCCCTAATGACTATTGGTGTTGAGCATTTTTTCATGTGTTAATTGGCCATTTCTATACCCTCTTCGGAGAAATGTCTATTCAGATCATTTGTTCATTTTTAAATTGGGCTTTTTTGTTGTTGTTGAGTTGTAGAAATTCTTTATATATTCTGGAAATCAATCTCATCAAATGTATGCTTTCCAAATATTTCCTCTCATTCTGTAGGTTGTCTTTTTACTCTCTTGCTAGTGTCCCTTTGTGCACAAAAGTTTTTAATTTTGATTAAGTCCAATTTACCTATTTTTTCTTTTGTTACTTGTGTTTTGGTATCATATAAAAGACACCATTACCTAATCCAAGGTCATGGGATTAAGGATGATATGAGGTAGGGTTCCAATTTCTTCTTTTTTTTACATGTGAATTATCTTTTCAGTTTCATTTTTGTTTTGTTCATTTCAAGTATATAGAAATGTAATTAGCTTACGTATCAATCATATCCTCCTACCTTGCTGAACCTGTTTATTAGTTCTGATAAATTTTTTTGGTAGATTCCTTAGCACTTTCTACATACAAGGTCATCATGTGTGAAAAGAGAGTTTTACTTCTTTCTTTTCAATCTGGATGACTTTTATTTCTTTGTCATGCCTGATTGCCCTGGCTAGAACCTCCGGATCAATATTGGATAGAAGTGGCAAGGGCAGCCATCCCTGCCTTGTTGCTGACCTTAAGGGGAAAGCATTCACTCTTTTGCCATTAAGTATGATGTCAGCTGTGGCTTGTGCAGCTTTTAAAATCTATTTTTAAGTGATAAAACAAGTCTCTCATTGCTGTACTGTAAAATACTGCCCCCTACCTACCCTTCTTTCTTCCTATGCTCTTTTTCTTCATCTCCTTTCCTTTATCTTTCTGTCCTAACAATTCTGGCTTGTGAGCATCACATAGAACCTCAGGTTATGGTCAATAGATGTTACCATGAAAAACAAAAAGAAGAAAGGCTATCATTTCTCAGGACTTTTGAGCCCGAATCACAACACTGCCCCTCATATTTTGAAGTAGAAGTGTCACAGGGCGGCCCAATCATTGACATAACATTTACTTTACCCTAAAACATTCGGGTGAAACAGGAATTTATTTAAACATAAGGTGTCCCTCTTAAAAAAAAAATGAGGAGTCCTTTCAAATAAATACTATTTATAAACAAGAGAGCAGGATTTTTCACTCCTTCTTAGTGAGAATTTAAGGATAGAGCTCCTCTTTGTTTCATATATATAGTTGAATATATATCAGAGAATTTTTGTTGAATACCTACTATGTGCCAGACACAGGGCTAGAACTTGTGAAAGATGCAAAGTGTAACAAAGGCCCTTCTCTTCAAGAGCTTATAACATCTATGAGAGTTCAGATGTCTTTTTGATAAGGCTAAGACATGTGTATGAGGCTTTTTAATCATATTGTCAAATACTATTAGGTAATGCCAAAAAACAGAATATAAATTCTAGGACTTAAATGACTACTGAAGGAGGACCAGTGACCATGTGGAAAGGGAAACCCTGGACCAACAGTCATGAGGTCAAGTAACTTGGGTTCTAGTTTGAGTTCACTATTAAGTCACCACTGCTTTTTGGGCCTCATTGGCAAAATAATAGCTTTGAACTACATCCAGGATGTCAGGCAAGTTTCACTTCCTATATGGTGGATTGATCATGATTATGGATTGATAGTTTCTTATGGATTGATAATTTCTACCTGAAATATTTTGTTGAAAATTATTCTGAGACCATGTATGACCTCAGCAGGAGAAAAAAAAACTGCCATGATTGACTATTCATCCCTAGCACAACATTGAGAATTGTTCTCTGTTTGAAGTCCGTAGGTTCAATGATTTTTAAGATGCCTTCCAACAGTAATTCCCCATGAGCCTGTGAGTTAAGAAATACTAGATCAAAGTTTTCCAAATCCCCATGAGAACAATACATCAATGAGAAGACTCTTGCCCAAGGTAGAAAGTATAAGACGATTAAGAGAAAGTGTGCTGAAGAAAGAGAGAGACCCACTATGGGGAGAGCTGAGAAGTTGGGTCAGGAAAAGCCACTCACCTTGAGCCAAGGACACGGACTACAGAACTTAGTTATTGTCACAAAAGCCTCAGTCTGGGACCTAGGGATAAACTCAACATAAACTGAGGAAGAAGGGGCATCTGGATGGCTCTGTCAGTTAAGCGTCTGCCTTCTACTCAGAGTCCTGGGATCGAGCCCTGCATCGGGCTTCCTGCTCAGTGGGGAGCCTGCTTCTCCCTCTCCCTCTGCCACTCTCCCTGCTTGTGCTCTCTCTCTCTCTCTCTCTCAATAAATAAAGAAAATCTTTTAAAAAAAAACTGAAGAAGAAAACTACTTGGAATGAGAAAGAGAAGGGGATATTTGAAAGGACCCTGTCATTAGCTGGCATTTACCCATTGTGAAACATGAGTTCAAAGGGAGGCCATGGTTGCTGCCCTGGAGAAGCTTAAAATCAGTTCATATGGATAAAGCAGGTTGTGGCAATGGCCTTAATAGAAATATGTGTAAGAGCTATGAGAATTCAAATTAATGGGTATAGGAATGGCCAGAGAGCACTTCATAAAAGAACTTAGACTTTGATTGACTTATCTGTGCTTGAGTTATTTTTCCAGAACTATCCATTGATTTAAAAATACTGAATGCTGTGAAACAGCAGGTATTGTGCTAGGTGTGTTGTAGGACAGCAAAGTAAAAAGTACAGTCTGTTTAATTAAAAAGGCAAGGTCTCTCATTTCAAGGAGCTCACAAAGAGAAATATAAGAAAGCTGGCAATACAGTATCACTGATGATTCTCAGAAATTTAAGGAATTAACAGTCTTTATTTGAAGTATCTGGAGACTGTGCCTCAAGAAGATGAGCTAGTTTACCTAAGATCACACAGCTAACAGGTACAAGTGTCAAATTTGCATTCAGAACATTTTGATGGCAGAATGTCCATTTCTTCACACTATATTTTTTTGGAAGTCAGGAGAAGGACAGTTACTAATCATACCTTGGGTAAGAGAGAAAGCTTCCAAAAGAAGGTGGTGCTCAAACAAGATCTTGAAGTCTGAGTAGGAGTGTGCCACACATAGAATACAGCATGAACATGAAGGTGGAAAATGTAGGGATGTTAGAGTGAGGCCAAGCAGATCAGGGACACCAGATGGATGGTGTAGTTGGTGTAGTGGTAGGTGTGGCAAATGGGGCTGACCAGGAAGGTCTGGAAGGTCAGGCAGCTTGTATGGAAAGCCTGGTTTGAGCGGGAAGCTCACTGAATTTTGAGAACATCCAGGAAGAAATCAGAGGCTCTCCACTGAAAGTGCTCATTTGCTACAAATGAAGTGCCCAGGCTTTCAGTCCACCCCATGTGCCTGCACAAAGTTTGTGTCTACACATGCAAAAACAAGTGGACAATTGTGTCAGTAACCCACATCATTCCAGCCTACCCAGACCCCTAAGCTCAAAGTGGCCATCTGTTTGGATGGGTCTCCTTGAGAACTATCTCAGTTTCCCAGATCCCAATGCAGGCAGGCTTCCCTGAGAATGTCGGTTAAATTCCTAATGAGTCTCTACTCAAACTACCCTCTGTCGAAAACTTAATCACTCCCTTACTTTCTTTCATTGGTCTCCTTTTTTCATCAATTTCATAATCAGCCACTCTGTTATTTATTAAGACATTTAGGAAATAATATGATCT